AAAGAGTGTGGCTCTGTGTCAGGTCAGGGAGTTGCTCTCAAATCATCTTGACCCTTCCTGCCTTACCCTAAGGGCTCACATCTCTGCTCATCTGAAAGATCCCTGTTGAGGTTACTAATCCAACAACTAAACACATTTACCTGAAAACTAATCAGCTGTTTCTTCAGTGGGTGCTTTTATCTGGTCTCTCAAGGGCTGCCCCTGCCATTTCTTCTTAGATTTGTTCTAGCTGTGCCAAAAGCTGATGGAGTTGTTGGCACAGTTAATAACTGGTTGTGTCTTTCTCGAGCAAGTGAGTTCAAAAGTCTTGAGTCTCTCCATTTAGAGAGCAGCTGCAGCAGGTGCTGGAGAGTTAATGGGGAATGTGCATGTTGGAGCAGAAGCTGCAGGAATTTTGGGTTGTAGGGCTGCCAGCAATGCCAGCCTGCAGGGTGGTGGTTTGCAGGAGGTTCTTGAACACAGTGAGCACCTGTGACTCATGGGAGTCTCAAAGAATCTTGAGGCCTGTGTATGGTGGGTCTGCTGGTGGGCATTCCTCCTCACCTGCCACGTGTGGGTGACTCCTCTCCTTTTATCCAGCATCCTTAGAGGACTGTTCTGCCTGGGGAAGGAGGTGGCAGGAGCCTGCTGAGCCTACCAGGGAGGGCAGCAGAGGATGGGCTCTGGTTTGCTGTCCCTCAGGGGGGTTTGCTCCCCTCAGGATCTGTGGGGTCCCCTCACCCTCCGGTGCAGCGTTTGTCCCCAGCTGCATGATGGGGTAGGGTTGTGCTGGGACACAACTGTTGCTTCACCTCTGAGTGTTCCCTTCCTGCAGGGAAAACGCCTGTACTTCAGTTAGGTTTGCCATGTGGCAGGCAGAGCAGAAGTGCCTCCTCTGCCCGTTCCTGTTTGTGAAGCCTTTTGAGACTTTCCTATGTTCTGGACAGGCAAGGATTTCATTTCCAGCTCCACAATTACGCAGACACATGATGGAGTTTCCAGTAGCCTTTGAATGACCATTCATTTTCCACAGGTACGAAACAGCGGGTGTTGAACTTCCTTGGCTGTTCTGCCACTTGTCTGGGATCCCATCTTGATGAGTCTCACCTAGAAAACAATGTGTGCACAAGTTGTTGTTACAGACTCCTACTGACTCCCAGTGGGGCAAAATTCTTCGCAATAATAGTTTTTGCATGTGGCCCGGCAGCTCCGCGGCATCCTCGGGACAGCATTGTTCAGAGGAAGCCTTGCCTGCCTTTCAATAGTGCTGGGGGTGCCAGGAGGAAGAGAGGAGGAAAGGGAAACGGGGGAGCTGCTGGTTTGTCTCACATTCACATCAGATGACAGGAAGAGGGATGGAGGTTGGCTGCCCTGCTCCGCACCGCGGCAGGGATGCGGCTGTGCCAGTAACTTCCAGCCCTCTGTAACCCAAGTGGTTGCCATGGTGAAGCTTTTTATGTGTTCTCACTAGTTTGTTGAGGTTTTTTTAAAGGTTTTGGTTTTTCCATGATGGGTCTTCCTTCAGTACTGAGATCCTCTTGGCTTGGAGGGCTCCTTGTCAATTTACTGTTCACGCACTCATTGCATTAACAATAACATCGTAATCACAGCCTTGAACTTTTAGTTATACGAGACTTCGCTTCTAAGCTGTTCTGTGGACCTGAGGCTGTAAGAACTGCACACATGGTTGGAAAATAGTGTGTGCATCATCTGCAGCCTGAAGATTCTAAATCAAATAGACTGTGTAGGTTGCTTCTGGACTCTTAAGTTTGTTTTAAAGGAACAACTACCACTTTGCTGCTAAGAAAGTAATATTTGAATGCAGAGGTTCTCAGAAAAAATCCCACACCACAATTAATTCCTTTCAGCAGGGCAGCTGCAGGGGTTTTGTTGCTGAGCAGAATGCAGTGAGAATCCTCGTTGCCCTTCTACTGCCTCTGTTGTTGCCAAAGTGGACCAGCCTTCCAGTGGTAGGACTTTATTTTCATAGTGCTGAAATTGCAAGTGCTTTTGGTAGCAATGTGTCTACAGAGACCAACCTGAGGTGCTTCTATGTATTTTGGAGGCTCTGAAAGTTCAACATGTGGGGTTTTATATACATCACATGTACAAGTGACAACACCAGCCCTGGAGACATCTGTGGCTGCTTGCTGGTAGCTGGAAGTACAATGATGAAAAACAGCTACCGTGTAACCAGCTCCTTTATTTTTCCCTACCCTTGCTTTGCTGCCTCCCTTGCCTTCCAAGCCAAGGCTGAGGGTTCGTAAGCCTCTTGGAAGACCAAAGTGCTTTGCCTGTATTCCAGAGGATGGAGGAAGCCTTCCATAATCATTACAATGTGTTTATTCTCCTGGGAGATAACTTGGCCCTTTTGCACTGCTCATCTGAACGCTTGCTGCACCTTCACCTCTTTAACAGTGCACATCCTGAATGTCCTCCATAACCCATCCTGTGGGATGACTCACATTCCTGGAACTTTCTTGCCTGGCTCCTGAAGCTTAACAAAGGGCTCTGGCCCTTCTCAAACATCCTATCGGGCTTTATTAGGAAAAATGTTGCTTGCCCTTCCCATCTGGATGGTCCCTGAAGCTGCCTGGTGTATTTGGCTGTCCATTCATGTGTGGACATGGAAGGTTCCATCCCGTGCCTGGGGGTCCCTGTGCACACTGAGGTGTCCTGGTGGGTTCTCAGAGCCCCAGGTGTCACTTTGCAGGCTGAAAACTGGGCTTAAACTGCAGGGCTTGCTCACAAACACTGTACAGCTGGTCAGGGGAAGGTGAATCCCCACTGACCTGCCCCTGCTCAACCCTTAGACAATTCTTAAACTGTAGGGATGGGGTCAGGCAGTGAAGTAGTACCAGATCTCATTTCCTTCTAGGTCAGCTACTGTTGGGAAATACTGATCCAGGGAACCAGAAAAGCTGCAAAGAACTTTCAGGATTAGATGTGGCCTGCACAACAAATGTGCTCCTTATTTTAAGTTGCTCAATGCACTAGATTCTAAGCAGAAAGATTTGCTGTGGCTTTTCCCAGTTTTATTGGAAACAGCACACTCCTCTCTGCATGGCAGGGAGGGAATTGGCTGAATAAGTGTCTGACTTCATGTGCATGTGGCTGAGAAGCTGTCCGAGCCAGGAGCACTGGCAGGCTTGGCCTGCATGATACTGAGGTCTGCCTGGTGCCTTTTTTGGCCTGGTTTGTTCTGCTGATTCTCCTGCTTGCCCAGCTCTGCCAGGCAGGTGGGAGATCAGCTGTGTTCATGTGCCCTGGCCATGTCATTGTCCCTGCACTGGCACTGCTTGGCAGAGGGAAGGGATGGGACTCGTGGTGCTTGTATAGGGAACAGGATCCTCAGGGACTCAGGATTCTGTGGGGCTGAAACTGCTTCTGCAGGGAGAGGGGATGCAGGGATGGAGCTTCAGGCATTTACATCGGGCTAGGGAGGGGGCAAGTGGTGCTCATGCCTGAAAGTAGATGTGGAGGATTTTTATGGAGGAAGGCAAGATTGCATTGTCCAAAAGCCAACCATTAGCAGATCTTCATGGCCTTCAGCTGACATGCTGGCCAGGAGCCTGTGCCCTGGGGCTTTAGAGCAGTCACTGGTGGTGCAGCTTAGAGCTGTGGGTGCTGAAGGGTGTGTGCAGGGTGCCTGACTCTCCAGGTGTTTGGGAATGACACCTGAACTGCTCACGCGGCTGACTGTGTGTGTGTTGGGGTTCCTCTCTAGCTCATTTTCAGAGCAATGGAAGGTTTAATAAATGTCTTCTCTCCCCTGCAGATACCACCTTCTCAAACTCCTTCAGAAGTTTGGCAAAGTAAAGCAATTTGACTTTCTTTTTCACAAGTCTGGAGCTCTGGAGGGGCAGCCAAGGGGTTACTGCTTTGTGAACTTTGAAACCAAACAGGTATGTTGCTTTTATCTACAGTTTGTACTTAAATGACCGACTTTCCCCCTCCCCCTTTTTTTGTGTGTTAATGTAAAGCTAAAACAGGAAGGGATGAATTAAATATCTTGCCTGCACAAACCCATAGACCCCACCAGCTCCGCTCTGTGACTGCTGCTGTGAGTAGCAATAGTGATTTCCTTTCTCCTGTGCTGACTTTTCCTGAATCCTGCTTTCTAATGCTGATAGGAAGGGGCCAGTTCTTTGGTCCACTTTTATGGTGAACTCGTGGAGTTTTGCTGTGGAGTGTTTTTTCCCATTCCCTCCCCAAAAACAAGCGAGAGAAGGAACCAATAAGGCTGATAACAAGGCTGGTTGCTCAGGTGTTGGAGCCTTCCAACGATACTCCTGGATTGGGATATAACGGGGTAAACTTTGCTGTCAGGTAGCTGTACTTACAGGAGACTGATTAACAAAGAATAAAGGCTGAGTACATCTGGGTTGGTTTTGACTAGAGGCTGGTGTGTTTACTGAGCTGCCTTCCTGCAGGAAGCCGAGAAGGCGATCCAGTGTCTGAACGGGAAACTGGCCCTTTCCAAGAAGCTGGTGGTGCGGTGGGCACACGCGCAGGTGAAGGTGAGCTGCTGGGGCAAGGAGGAGTGGGCTTCATTTGCTGCAAGGAACAGCTCTTACCAAGGCTGGCTTAGCCTGGCGAGATCATTTCAGTCTGTTCTAGGAAGTAACTCTGGTAGAAGCAGCATTAACAACTGCCCCTTCTCCTGCCTGGACTAGAACAGAGCATTTAAGCTGGTGTGTTTTGTAAGGGAGTTTCTGAGCAGAGTGGTGTGAACAGGTTAGTTCTATAAATGTCCACATTTTAACTTTTCCCAAACGTAGTGTTTGGCTGGAAGTTTGGGTCTTTCCCTTTGTGGTTTTGCTCCCTTTTTGGATAGGACGTGCATGGAAATTCCCAATTAGGGAGTACTTTGTTACATTGTTCCACTTCTGAAAGCACTTATGTGCCAGCAGTCCTAATTACTTCTGACTTTAAAGCAACATATTTCACATCTAAGTTAAATATCCTTTTATTGCTTGCTCTGTTGCATAAAACATCAAGTTTTCAGTATTAACTTAGGCAGTACCTTCTGGAACATCCTTGTTTTCATTTTTAAAAATTTTTGTATTGTTTCTCCTGCAGTTTTTTACTACCTGGTATTTGACAGAGCAATTTATTTTTAGAATCATAGAATGGTTTGGGTTGGAAGGACCTTAAAGATGGTCTAGATCTAACCCCCCTTCATGGGCAGGGACACCTCCCACTAGACCAGGCTGCTCAGACCTCCATCCAACCTACCCTTTAATAACTTACAGATAGAAGGATTTAGGAGGAGGTGGAGAGGAAGCTGCTTGTTGCTATTTCCCTTTGGGTAATTGTCTTTCAACATGTGTAGATGATCCTATGAGCAGCTTCTACCCTTTCTCTTATCAAGTGTATTAGTGCATCTGTTTTGGATGCTAAGAAAAACCAAACCAGGTATCTTTGTTAGGGGAGACCATACTGTTTTAATTACTGTCTTCAAGGGTTCCAGGCTCTTGTCAGCACATCCAAGCTTGTGCAAATCCAGTCTCCATTTTCTCTAGCTCTATGGCTTCTAGAGCTTCACGTGCTTCTGGATGCCTGAGGAATGATCAGGCCATGAAGGGAGTAGCAGCCCGGGGAGCCAGTGTCTGCTC